ACTCATTTGTTGGAAATTCAGAAGAGAAATTAGCTCCGTTTGTTGTCTTATTGTTTTATTTATTGGTGGTGTAACTAATGATAGGAAACAATACTTATTATCATTCTTATACTTGTAGTGCATTACCGGTACTTAATAAACCTTTTTCTAGATTTGCCACAAAGGATATTATTGAATTGAATGAGTTTGATGCAAGAGTCTTCTGGATATTCTTTTTTGTACATTGACAGTTTGATTGCCTTGTCTTAGCACACAATTTTTGTAATTTAAAATCATTTCTTATAAATTTTAGATGACTTTTTGCATATTTTTCCCATAAAATTTGTCATAATTTTTTTTTTGTACCGGTATTTTCATTATTTTCTAAAACACTTTCTCTTTTTCAGCCACTGACCTTAAGAGGAAAATTGATGCTTGGTTGGAAGAAAAGACGAAATCCAGTTAAAACATGGCACTTAATCCCCTGATGTATTTGTATGTAAATTTGATTGGTGGTCAGGTGTTTGATAGATTGATCAAATGGCGGCTATTGTACATGTTGGGTCAACGAATATATTGGAAATATGTTCATCCCATCAAGTGCCCTCTCCTGATTTAGCACTTTTAAACATTGAATGCTTTTCATCTCTGTGAAAGCACTATGGAGCTTTCTGCTTTCTACACTTACTTTCTTTATGAACAATAGTTTGATTTTATTGCAGGGGGGGGGAGGGCATGGACAAATTCAAGTTCAGATTTGAATATCTATCAGGGCTGTTATAGGATTTTTTAGTCTTCGTGCTGATATTTCTGCATGTGTGTGTGTGTGTGCGATAGGATGTGATGAAAACTATTATGGCATTTTCTTTTAGTAGTAATAAAATATGGATCAATTGAGAATAAAGTTATTTGATCTGTTTATATATTAGTGATCACATAAAATCCTTACTTAACAGTAAGTTTGACCCAGAAATCGGTTGGTGCCACACTGTCCACTTAACATCAAGACAAAAGTAGCGCAAAGCTGTGATTACTTCAGTCTAACTGCAAATGAGAAACAATCTCATATTGTTTTTATCTCTTGTACAAGAGGGAAAGGAAAGATTTTTCTTAAAACGTTCTATATATTACCAAGGCTGCTTTATAGACTTCAGTGGGACCTTTTGTAATTATGGTACTTTTTTTTTTTAATAAAAAAAATGTTTTGGTTCTTTGGTTTGAATGAAACTTACCGAGTATAGCCCAGAGTTTCCTTACCAGCATTAGATTAGATGCTGTACCAATGGATCCATTGATAATTTTGATTGAAAAAATATGTTACCTCTCTATCTGCGGCTCACTATATATTGTAGATATAATAATTCATAAAAGTTTCTTTTTCTATTTTTTTCTGAGATCTAAAAATTTATTCAAAGAAATCCATAAAGTTAAGAAAAGATGAAATTAGTGTATTGAGATGCACTGACAAATTCTTACTTTTACAATACCCGGTACCAGAAAGAGCCATGCCTTGTGGAAAGAAAAAAATTAACTTTTTAATTGGTCCTTCAATTTGATATACAGTATCTTTATTTAACAGCCTTGGCCTTCCCTAAACTATATGGTAAGTTTTTTTTTTTTATACCAGCTATTCACTGCGGCCAGTCACACTTTTTGTTCTTCAAATCAGTATATTACAATAATACATCTAAGCCTGCCATAAGTGATACTATTGTTCAGCAAAAATAGCGATTTGGAAGTAGAACAGAAAATATAAATGAGAAATTAACCAGTAATTTGAATGCATTTTCTGCACAAACTATAAGATGTGTTTCTGTTACATGTACCCTCTTTGATTTCCTCTATTCTTAGAATTGTTCCTCTGCAGTGTGAGAAAAACTTTAGTGAAAAGTGATTGCTGTGTAAATTTATTATTCTAATGAAAGGCATGAATTGTAATACGGTAGCTGCTAATTAACTTATAAAATGTATTTGTGAGACATTGTACATGATCTACCTAAAACAAAATGTATGTGGTATTGGACCCCAGCATTAATTTGATTAATTATACCTTAGTAAATTGTGTTGAGAAATTATGTGGTGGTTTTTTTGTTTTAGATTAGTATTTAATTTCAGGTCTCAATGTTTTCCATGTCAGTTTGGTAACATTAATGCATTTATCTATTTTGGTAGGGAGAGCTAGTGTCCTTATCAAATTATGAATGTTGGTGTATCAAATCACCATTACATCAAAGCTTTGAAATTATGGGAATTTGGTACCGGTACACCCAGTCACTTGAGAGCAGAATGATGTTCTATATGCAATGGTGTAACTAAGGCCACACAAATAATTAAACCCCTTCGGCTTTTACACAATGACACAAATCAGAAGCAGATTTTATTTTACGTTTTCACCTCACATGGGAAGCCAAATTTTATTCCTATATGATACTACATCGATATTTAATTTTTAGAGACTTTTTTCTCTTTCCAGGGACATATTTTTTTCTTTCAAGGAGAATAATGCTATTGTTAATAACAGCTCCTGAAGTGCAATAAATATGGAACTTAAAACAATGATTTCACCCCTAATTTCCGTTTTCAAGTGCCGACATATGTCTCAGTGTTCTCAATATGTTTTTGAAAACAAAAGTGAAAAAAAAATGTGTACAAACATAATTTTTTGTCAGATCTTAAAGTCTATATAACTACAGAAACTCTGTCAGATGGAGATTATTTTTTTTTTAATTTGTAATTATTTAAAACTCCCTGTGTCAGTACATGGTGAAATGCAGAAATTATGAGGGGTGGGGGCTTTCCTTATTAAAACCCCAGTATATGCATTACCTCATGATGTTAAGTAATTTGTGTAACTTCTCACTCAATGCTGCCACCAACTGGTTTTACTTGCCGCATTTTTTAAAGTGAATGTATGATGTTATAAATTTATAGCTGAATTATTTCAAAACAATTACTCGTGATTCAGGAGTTGTAAAAATGAAATCACTTCTGACACTACTTTGAATTTGTTTGACAACACCTTCTATAATCCACTTTTGTGAAAATCTGAATATAACTTTTTAGAAATTAATAAACCAGAAATGTTGTACTGCAAAGTTCAATCTTTTTTTTTTTTTAAAGAAATTTGCTGCAAAGTTCAATCTTTTTTTTACCATGGTCTTAAAATTATAAAAAGAATATAATTTTTTCAGTATTCACACAAATGAGTAACGGCCTTCTTAACTCATAGTTGTAGTACCGGTACATGCGTCTCAATGTTGATTTTTCCTCTCTATTCTAAAACCTTAAAGAGCCGCATTTCTTTTTCTTATAAAATTTTATTAAATGTCGAGTATAAATTAGGGATGGTTAGCCACAGTAAAAATTTTGAGAATCTGGATAAAATCTTTTCCAGCATCACAAGAATTGATAATTTCCTTAATTTAAACATTTTTTTTTTTACCATGAAAAGCCACTGTGTATGGTATTTGTCAAAATACGAGTTGTGGCTATTAGCCCAGCAGCCAGAGCATTTATTACTGTGGACATTCATCAAACAGTTTGCTTTTTATTTCCAAATGCTACAGTAGACTTGATGGTATGCATGGGAAGATCTGGTGGTTGTGAATATTTATTCTCATCTTTTATATCTTTTTCGGGAGATATTGGTGACATTAAATCAGTGTAACTTTTAATGTCATTAAAAACACCGAATAACTGATTTTTCTTTTCATCAAAATTGAAAAGTGTGGGGATATTTGAAATGAAACATTATTTGGTTGCAACTCTTTGATGGAGCAACAGCTGAATGCAAAATTCCTTCCCCATTTATTTTCAATATTTTGACTGTCATAAATTTGTTTCTTAGAATTATAATTTGCTAGTCTCCAGCAATATTTATTTATGCATTTTATCTAGGCATTTGATAACACTTTCTTTCCCACTTACAATTTTAATGCTACTGGGTATTTTAAATACAGTTTGATTTTTTATTTGGACCATGTACCAGTAGTCAAAACAGATAACTGCCATCAGAGCTCCGGTCTCCTGATGTGCAATCAAACCTGCAGTCACCTGATGTCTTGTCTTGCAATAAGACCTGCAGTCTCATCTTGCATTCAAACCTCCAGTTTCCTGATGTCTTGTCTTGCAATCAGACCTGCAGTCTTCTGATGTCTTGTCCTCTCTCTTTTGAAATATATCCTCTCTGGATTTTTAAAAAAATTCTACGTACAGTACTTCCCTGCTTGCAATAGGTAGGAAACCTTTTTTGGGTGAAAAGCTTTATTTAAAAATTTTAAGCCCTAAGGAAATATTTTGGGAGCTATGTGTAAAACAACGAGCTGCATCTATGCCTTCAGAGAGCCCCATGTGTAGCTCAGGATCCACAAAAGATGTGTACCACTGCAACAAATGCATATTCACTAATTATGTTAATAAAATAAATCTAGTAGGAAAATAATCTAACCCACATGTCCCATCCCCGATTTTTTTTAAATGTACATTATCATTCAATTTCTGTCATTGCTCACGAAAGTGATGTACCGTTAGGTCAAATATTTTCTCATTGCTGATAAATCTTGAAGAATCAAAGGGTCAAATTAGAAATGGTAAAATGAAAGCATTTACACTGACAGCTGCATGAATGTTCTTTGATTTTCCCAATAATTTGTAACTCTTATTTTGCTCAAAATCACCTGGCTAACTGTTTATGCTGCATTTGTATATACATTATATTTCTTTGGGTTCATTGTCCTATTATGAAGATTGGTTAGCATTATTATTAGACTTTTAATTTTTCCTGGCACTAACTTTCATTCATTATTTCTAATAAGCCCTGTACCACAATGTAACATCCCTATGTGATACATAAGTGATGAGAACATCTCATAGTGTAGTTATTTCATTGGAGACTCTGTGGCCTCACTGAGGCTTATAACAAATAAAAACATGTTTTGAGAACGTTTGAATAAAATAAGAAAATGAGTTTTTTTTTTGTCCTGTTCTTTTAATAATCATGCTCTAGACTGACTTTAAAAAAAATATTAACAAATCATCACAATTATCAGTATATAGTTAGCTATAACAGTGTTAATGAATAAACATCAACAAAGTAAAGTCACAGAAAATTATTTTTTAAATTAAAGAACTAAGTACGGATTTTTATTTCTCAAGCTAAGTAGACAATTAAAATGAAACACAATTTCAACAAATCTTTGAGAAAAGTTATATTTTATAAGGATTTAAAACAAGATTAATTGCTTTGGTGATTAGCTTCTGTAATAGCCCTTTATGAGAGCCAACCCGTTATTTTCACAAGGTTAAAAAATGTATGCCAATCAAATAGATGGGAAAATGTTATAAGGGAAATGGTGGCATTAACAGGTCACTACAGATCTATTACGGAGGAGAAAATTGTTGTCTCAAGAAAATGTAATAAGCTCAAAGCATATTTAATTTTATTTAAAATCCTATGATCTTCATTGCAATATAAATGGCCTTGAAAGTAAGAACTACAACCATATTTTTTTGGGATACTGATATTTCATTGTAATCAGTTACACATTAGTTTCTAAATTCAAATTTTTTGTTTGTAAAACTTATTAAAATGTATAATATAACACTTTGTGAGGGAAAGGAAAAAAAAAGTGGGGTGAGGGGGTGGTGAGAAAGAATTGTACTAACTGGTTGGATATGTGGTCCTTTTACTTAATAAATTTGAATCGGTCTAAGCATATTGTAATGAAACCTTAAGCAGTCCGAACAAAAAAATTATTACAGTTCGACAACATATACTGGTGGTTGAAGGAATATACCATACAAATGAACATCAAAAGAACATGTTAGAATAGAGTGACTTTGCATTGAACAAAATTATCATAGCATTCTAACAAAATTATCATAGCATTCTATTTTGTATGCTAACTCCAAAATAAGCCTTGTTAAATACAAAACAGTATTTTCAATAAAAAAAAAAAGCTTTATATCAATTCTCTTTCTGAGAATCAACAGCAACAAAAGGTTGGCAATTTTTTTAAATGGCTGTATTAAACTAGTTAAAGATTAATGTTCAGAAACCAAAAACAATAATAATTAAAACATGATTACGACTGTGACTTCTTTTCTACAGCACTTGCTTGAAGTGACTAAACAATTTTAATGTTATAAAAATCTACAAATAACTGAACAAAAAACTTGAAAAAGAGCTCAATTGAAGACTTTAAGTATGGGTACTGTAATACTGTTTTTTCCAATAAACATATCTAAAAGTTATTCATCAAATGTAATAAATAATGAAAAATTGGCACAGCAATTTGGGCACTCCTGAGTGATTTCTTTCAAATCAATTTGCTTCTGAAGAAAATAAGTACCCGGTATTTTAACAAATTGTATAAATTCTGGACCTAGCTAATAACCTATAATACTAATTTATATTTACCTGGACAACTTCTGCTTTCTAACAACTTCATAACATATAAGAAAATTTCTATTTATATTAAGAAATACACTTCAGTTAATTAGTTTGTTACACATGGCTTTAGAAAATTCCTCATGGAAACACAATGGCAAACATTTTTTTTATCTGGCAGCAAACTTTTTCCTGTATTTAAGATCAATGAAAGTAGTTTGAGCTTTCTTCTCCAACTGGGCCAGCTCAGCAACAGTGGGAGCAAGGAACTCTACATGTCCTTTGAACATGCTTCCTCCAGCTTTTCTACGCTCTCCATAAGTGACCTTGCCATCAAATTCGTTGATGGGAACTTTCATATCAGTGCCAATTCTGTCTATGGTGACGTCCAAATGTTCTTCCACATCATTCAAAAGCTGTGGTTCATTATACCAAATGCAACATCCACCATGATCGGTGAGATTGGTGTTGTAGCATCCACGACCTTTGCTGTTGCAGTTGGAGTGGTACCAAACCTTCTCTTTGCAACTGGCAACAAGGCTAATGGCTAAACCCATTCTTTCAGCTCGACCAACTCTGCCAATACGGTGAATGTAGTTTTGTTTTTCATCTGGAAGAGTAACATTTATGACATAGGGTAACCCAGAAATGTCAAGACCTCGTGCAGCTACATCAGTACAGATCAGGAATTTCACTTGATGTTTCTTAAACTTTTCAAGGTTTTCTTTGCGTTCTTGCGGTTTACGGTCACCATGAAGACACACACAAGAGTATTTTGCACCACCTCTCTGTCTCAAGTACTCCTCAAGATTATCACAGTCTACTTTCGTTCTGCAGAAAATCAGAGCAACGTCCATCTTATGTTCTTCTATAGCAGCAATAACATACTCCCCTTTTAGGATCTTTACAGCCTCAGAGTACATCTCTTGAGAATGGGTCTCAAAGTTAAGCTTGTCTTTTTCATGAACACCATCAGTTTTAATGTGTTTTCTTAAAGATTTCCATTGTGTGTCAAGGACTGGATCTACCATGCAGACAGAGTGATGTACTGTCTCTGGAACAGCATCTTGACCTTTCAGATCTATCCAAGTGGGAAAATACATAAGACGCTCAGCCATTTTTTTCACATCAAAAGAATGAAGGGTAGCAGAGCAGACTACCATTTGGAGACGTTTACCATCATTTGTCACCTTAGGTATTTGCTGATGTAGGCGGTTTATCAAATCACCATAACCAGCTGAGAGCAAGCCATCACATTCATCTAAGACAAAGAAACGAATTTGTTGGAGACCTAATTTTGATGTTGATATTAAATCCTCCAATCTGCCAGGAGTAGCCACGACAATGTCCACACCTTTGTTAAGGACTTCAACCTGATCTTTAACATTAACACCACCAATTATTAGCAGTTCTCTGACTTCAGGATTTTCAACATACTTTTTGAATTTCTGAATTTGAGTTAAAGTCTGCTCTGCCAGCTCTCTTGACGGTTCAATAATAATTGCCTGTGGTGCATTAGGGGCTGAAACAAATTTAGCCTGTGTTTTACCACCAGTGTTCGAGTCCTTACAGCAATCTGGACTGGCTTGACTTAAAGCTTTATAGCCACCTTTTGGAGGAAACTTGAATGGTGTATTACCAAAATTGAATTGCATTTCAGCATTTTTAAGGACTATAGCAGCATAGAAGGCCTCAGTCTTCAAGTTTACAGCAATGTCATATGCTTTCACAAACTCTATGCCATTTTTTGACCACTTGATTTCAAAGTCATCCAGATTTAGAAAGCAGCCAATAACATCATTAATGCCAAATGGTTCCCCATAGCTGTCAAATTGCTTATCAAAAGATTTTTTTCCTGTTCCACCAAATCCATAACCAAATGCATCAGTGCCCAGATCCAACTTTGCCTTGCTAGTGGACCAGCCAATTCTGCACAAACCTTCATCTGTGACAGTGCCTTCGAAGTAATATTTGCCTTTCCCATATACTGCCTTAGTGCTTCTTGTCCCATGCCAACCTTGCTGATCTCTGGACTGGCAGAGCAATCCGTCAGCACTTATTGCCATTGCATCGCCTCTATCATAAACATTCATTTTCCAGCCAGATTTGCCTCCACTGCCACTGCTTTGCACTTTCTTTGATGACCCTTTGCCTTCTCGAAGATCTTTAATGGTTTCGTATACTGTTTGAAGTATCGGTAAACAAAAGGCACCAGTTTTGCCACTACCTGTTTCAGCAGCCATAAGCACATCACCTCCACCAAGTATCATTGGAATAGCTTCTGCCTGGACATCTGTAGGTAAAGTCCAGTCCATTTCTTCGACAGCCTTAGCAATTTCAGGCAAAACTCCCATTTCTTCAAATGCTGTCATTTTTGTTATTAACAGAATTATTTTGGCTAAAGCTAAATAAAGCTACAACGTGTAAAGTCAATGTCGGCTAAGCTTGATGTGCGCTGTTTCGATTTGTTATTTGATTTTTTTTTTTTTTAATAATCTAAAACGGTTTTGAATTATTTATGTCTTTAAAATATGGTTACATAAAGGGAATTTAATCTCAATTAATTTTTTTTTTATTTGGGATCGTTTTTTGTTGTTTTTTTTTGTGGAAAATTTAAATACTTAAGGGTTAAATTTTATTATTTTTTAATCAGTGTTTTCTTACTAAACGTAGTTGTGGGTTTGATTTCATTGTATCCATTTCCGTTGTCGTTAATAGTAATTTCCCCTTCTTAATGGCAACCTGCAACAAAGTTGAAGACGTGGATTGTTTGATCCATTGCTTTGGATTACTACAGTTGTGTATCCTAAAAATGTTTTCGTATACATAGGTTGTTTAGTAAGTGAATAGTGTAAAAAGGTGGTTTAGAGAACAGATCCCTCAACTATATCCATGAAATCTGTTGGGTATTGAGTGAATTTTTATTTAGATGTAGTAAAGTTGACAACTTAGACTTAGTTATTCGTGTGTTTGGCTAGTTCACTACTACTAATTAGTAGTTTAGTTCATTTCAGAGGCAGAGTTGAGATTCACATCAGAGTTCATATGTGGTTTGAAAACTACTTGACAAACACACTGCAAAACAGTTATTATAATCTGTGCTTTTATGTGTTTGACCAATGTACAACAGAAAACAGGCACTTATTTTTAAAATAACTTTTCACAATCTTTTACTTTAGAGTGTTCTTGGTCTTCCTTTTATTTAATAAACCATCTTAAAATTTATTAAACATTGGATTGGTCATTTGGTGTCACCATCTGCTGCTGATACATTTCCTTAGAGCCTCTTACTTTTTGCAGCTGCAGACACATTTATCCAGAGGCAGTGATGTTGATCATGTTTTACATCACAAGTTGTCTTGAAAAATTATCACCAGATATATCTGCTGCAGCAGCTTACCTGACATTATTTATAGCTAAAATACAACTTAGGTAAATGTTGGTTTGGTGTGTCACTCACTTCCCACGGCCTGAGATCATGGCAAACAAATAAACAATGTGGTGGCTGTGTAAAAAAAAATCGTGCAAACACACATCTGCTAAATAAGGATGGGAGAGAATGTGCGGGTTTAGCTTTATACTGAAAGATAAAAAATTAAAATTTAGTTAAATAAATTCAGATATGCGGCAAAAAATCTCAAAGACCTGTGCCCCCCCCCCCTTTTTCCTGGCGTAATTTAAGCAGATACATTAATTTACTTAATGAAATAATTTCAGCGGGTACATTTATTTTGTGGCCAACAAAGCTACTCAAGATATGCAGCAAGAAGTCTCAACGACCTGCGGTTGCTACCTTACCTCAACTAAAACACATGTGTGCTACAGCTACACACTGTGGTAAGGAATAGTAAAAATTATGAAAAACAATACAAAATAGGCAGTGTCTACACGTTCGGCAGGCCGGACGTATATCTTCCGCACTATTTGTCCGGCGACCAAGTCACATGACCGCTGTAACAAAGTGGCGAAAGATATTTTATCCATCAGCCTTGTCACATGACCACGAATGATTCAAAACTATTGTTAATTTTAAAATCTATTTCTCTACCGAGTAATGTATTAAGTATCTTGCATGCAAATAATAGAAAAAAAACTTAAGTGAAAATCGCTTGTAAACATTTTTGTTAAGTTTGTTATTTTAGTTTGTTTACCAGTAATCCATAAAATAAATTAGGGGCCAGTATGGAGTAGGCAACCAATAAAAGTAAAAGATTTCATTTTAAATTGTTTAAATTGCTACAAAATATTTTAAAACTTCTCATAAAACTGCTGTTGCTGATGAACATGATTATATAAATATAATTTCAAATATTTTAAATTAATATGGGGAAAAAAAGGTTTCCATACGGAAAACTGATCCACAAATATCGTCAAGCTGCCACTCTACCTCAAGACCACACACGATCTTCTCCATAGGCGCTTCCTGCAGAATAATAATGCCTACTAGTCGTCCGGCGGTCACGTAATATGCCAGCCGGATGTGTATCTCCCACACTATTTGTCCGGTGCGCCGGACGTGTAGACACTTCGTACAAAATATTTTTAAAATAATGAAAACCCAACTTACAGTTTCATCGAATACACTTTTACACACTTTATTGCAGGTTCCATCCAACATAAAATCCAAACGTTGTCAGAGAAATCAATAGTCCAAAATGCCGTAAAATTTAAATATTATAATTAGCCTATCAATAAAATTATAATTTAAGATTAAAAAGAAGCAAAGTTAACTCTAGTAACAATCCAAGAATAAACAAAAAGGAGATAATCCTTGTAATCCTACACTGAAACTCAAAGTGGCCTACTGAACCAACATTAACCTACAGCTTAACTACTTGCTATTTTTGTTGTGAATCAATGCATGGGACCTCAAATATGTTAAGTGTGGGTACATGAGATGTAGGAACATGGACATGGGTGTTCATCCCTCTTGGGGTGGTGGAAACCAATCCCCTCATTCCCCTGGATCTTTGACTTTGTTTAAATTATTTGTGTAGGTCATGCCAGCCATGGTCATGGATTATTCAAAATAATCATTCTAGAAGGCCTATAATTTTATTTTTAGCTTTAATTCTTGATATTCTTGAGACCATTTGGCGGTTGGATGGTAGTGCTGTCAAAACGTGTGTCATTCAATATTACAGTAGAGCAGGCCTGCACAACTCAAAATGTAAGGCAGACCAAAATAATTTATGAAAAACTTGTGCTGGCCGTAAGAAAAAAAGGACGNGGGGGGGGGGGGGGGTGGGGGGGTGTTGGGGGTGTTATTAAAAAGATAATAATAATAAACAATATTTCTTTACTTATGAAATAAATTTAATGTGACACATCGCATCGTTTTTCTGTTACAATTTTGTCGTATTCAGAAGATATATTGAAAGTGGCTGTTCTCAAGATGTCTTACAAATGATCTTCACTCAAACATGTGCTTTGGCTTGCATTTTTTAATGTTCATTATTGAAAATGACTGTTCACATATGTAAGTGGTTCCAAAAACACTAAAAGTTTTTAGTGCAACTTCTTAAAGATTTTTGTACTTGTCACGGTCCAGATTTTTATAAAAATCCAGCAGGCTGCTCTCTCTGTAGTTGCTTCAGTATATTGCCGAACATTGTAGTTCGATAATCTCTAGCTGCAATTGAACTGGTATGTCCTGGGGATTCACAGAAAATGGATCTTCAATCAGTTTAAATTGAATTTCTTCTTCTTTAGAAAGAGTAAGTCTTTAAATACTTCTATCAAAAGATTAATTTCATTAGCAAAAATTTTTCCCAACACGACATGCTTGTTCCGAGGAATATGCTGTGGAGAAGTGACTCATTTTACCATTTAGTAACTGGGTTTTGAAAAGTTTCAATTTCAGTTTAGAAGCTTTTACTGCTGCTAACATTTCAAATAAAAGTTGTTGCTTACCTTGAAGTTGAATTTTAAGGCCATTTAGATGTGTTGTAATATCTCAAAAGAAGAAGAGGTCATGATTCCAGGGCGCATCTTTAAGTTCAAGGAATTCCTTTGCTTTGTCTTCTAGGCATTGGATATTTCCTTCTTCAAAGCAATGAATCACTGAAGCACTTTCCCTCTGCTTAACCATCTTCTGGGGTATATTACGTCTCTGTAGTCAGCGTCTATATCTTCAATAAAAGCTTAAAGAGCCCTATGTTTTAGCCCTCTTGATCTTATATGGTTGACTATTTTGACAACAACCGACAGAAGATGCTCTAAATGTAACACTTAGCTACACAAGGCCTGCAAATGTATAATGCAATGATATTTTGTTATTTGCCTTCTGATAAAATGTTCAAGAAGCGCAACTGCTCCCTTATTAACACCTGTCATATTCCAGGCACCGTCGGTACAAATGGCCACTAATTTTATAAAATCTAATCCCAACTTATCTTTCAAGCACTTTATCACTTCACTGAAAATATCTTTTCCGGTTGTGCGACCTGACATGGAGCACATTCCAGCAAGTTCTTCTGTAATATCACAGTTTTTGACAACACCTCTAATGAAAATGAGAAGTTGGGCGGTGTCTTTTAAATCTGTGCTTTCGTCCACAGCTAGAGAATAAAAAGAAAATTAACAAGCTTTCTGCATTAATTGTTCTTGAAGATTGGTGGAAATATCAGTTATTCTTCTTTGCACTGTCATTCACGATAAACTGATATTTTAAAATAATACTGTTTTTCCTGACATAATTCAGGCATGGCAATCACTCTTTTACAAATTCGCCTTCAGTAAGGATTTCCCAGCAGTAGCAATTTCCCTTGAAATATAAAAGCTTATCTTGGTAGCAGTCTTATTTTCACTGCTTATTTTCTTGAAAAGTGTCTGCCCTCCAGTAAGAGTTTTTGACAGATTCGCTGCTTTAATGGATTTTTCATTTTGGTCCAATTTATACACATTAGGATGTTTAGATTCAAACTGCCATAGAAGATTATACTCTTTTGGTGCAGCAACTGTTTCATGACATACGAGGCACAGTATATTGTCTTTGAACACTGTAAATAAGTATTTATTAGTCCATTCAGGATTAAAAATTCTGTGCTCTATCTCTAGTTTTCTCTTTCTGGTTTGATTCATGGCGCTTTAAAATTTCAAGTAGACGTCTATAAGTATAGTACTATTGGTACAAAACTAAAGGCACAGAATATCAAAATAACGCGATACGTGAGTTCTACACAACACAATTATACACAATATTACAAAAATAATAAAAGACTACTCTGCAAAGAAGACACTAGTTTTGAACACACTTAGTTATTTTGATTGAGAATACATACACATGGAAAACCAAAGTCAATTTCCCTCGCGAAAGAGTAAATTCTCGGGAAAGTGTGCGTGTATGATTTAATATCGTCACAGGGAAAGAAAATATGGAGGCAATATTTACCCAACGATAAAAAAATTTGTAATTTAATTTGATTTAATAAAACAAAAAAATTAATTTCAAGTATACGAGGGTAAAAATCAATGTTGTGCAGGCCTGCAGTAGAGGGTTTGAGTTTAAATCCCAGCTTAAACCAGTAAAATTAAATATACTTTGTTTCCCTCCCCCCCCCCCACACACACACACATACACACAAAATAATTTTAAAAAATAGAGAATCTGTATTTTTTCCTTTGCCATATAAATTAGGTTACCTGAAGAAATTCCACAGCAGGTGGAAAAGGCAGAGGCGGGTATTTTATCTTCCTTTTCCCCCTGTGTATATTTATGGATACTAATACATCAGCGCCTTAAACAATGTTTGAGTGAAGTTATCACATCTCTATAATGAAACAGTATGGAAAAGCTTTTAAAAAATTTACGACGTATTCTAAGTCTTTAATAGTCTTAGTAAAACCAAATAAACTATCTTTTTTGATTGTTAATCTGAGTGTCCAATATTTTTATTAGTGGGTGTTTAAAAGATATTCATATATTTAGTTAAATTCAATCATTTATATCCTTATTCTTAAAAGTCATTTTAAGTTAAACCCCAAATGTATGTATATCTTACATATTAAAGAAGTATAGATTTGAATGAAACGTCAATGTCAAATAACTTATTTAAACAAGTTTGAGCTAGTTATAATTTTTAATGGTTTTGGTCATATTAAGTACCTTTTAATGCCATTTAACTAGACATAAATCACATTAAATATACATGAGAAATTTATCTAAATTATTTTAATATGTTATAACTCATTTCCATTTTTTAATCACCAGGTCATTCCTCCTAAGTAAAATAAATTAAAAATTAAAAAAAAACGCCATACTACAGGGTTGGCCCAGTTTGGGGGTCATTCTTTCAAAATTCCAAAAAAATGATTCTTGAAGGGCCACCAGAGAAAAAGCAGCTGCCATCCCTTAGCAGTGACGCAATGCAAGTGCGAACACGCAAGCCTAGCTCCATAGACAGGGAGTCTCAAGGACTGTTTAACACCAGAGCTTTTACGTTTCTCATACTTTGGTACTTCTTCAGTGCTTGTACACTGTTTTTGAACAAATACATACTCGCCACACTTAAAAGTGATCCGACACTGTTAGGTAAGACCCAAGTTATATCAAAAGGTATAAAATGTAGTAATATTAAATGCATTTGATTTAGATCTTACCTTGCATACATGCTAACATATGTGTTTATTTACAACAATACTTTGTGACCAGGTGCCATGCAGATGGTGATGACAACAGTTTTTGGCTTCATCCAAATGTACCTACCTCTAGGCATGTACACACCAGTAAGTAGAGAAGGCAAGCCACCAAATTTCTGGAGGAACATGATCCTAGTTGGAACCATGAGGTAAAACTGTTTTCCAGTCATTGTGATCATAGGTCATGGTGTTTGTTATGTTCTTAATATTTTCCCAAAGCTCAGGTAAAAATCTGAGTTTTAAATGAAATTGGTTATCTCTCAGCTGTAGAGAGGATATTTGTGTCATTCTTTTACATCAACTTTCTTGTAATAGTCATAGCATATTTTATGCTCATGACTTAAATACTTTTCACTTCATTTAATATTAAAAGATTTATTTATCAAAGTCATTTGTTAAATATTTACTTAATAGCCTGAAAGAATATACTAAGAACACTATCTTCTTATCTAAACTAAAAGGTGCCTGTGAACTTTTTCAATAATTCATTTATTTACTTAATCAATAAACAGCACTGATGGCATTGAATAAAGTCTATTTTATACACTGCCATGAGAAATGTCACTTTATTTAAACCTTGATTATTATTCAAATGCAATATGAAGGACCGCTTTGTAAATAAAAAATATGTGAAATATGAACAAAATTGAAACAGCTAAAGTTTTGATGACGTTAAGTTAATCTTCTCACTCTTCTCTGAGTTGCATATTTTGATAACCCAGTTAACTTGTATGTCTTTAATATGTTTTTGCAGGTTCTCCACTGTGGTCCTTGGTCTTGTGGCTCTTAAATTTGTAGCAGTGTCTTTCACCGAGACGGTGAAGAGTTCTGCTCCTTTGTTCACTGTTGTTATCTCTAAAGTTTTAATTGGAGAGTTCACTGGTGTCTACACATTTTTGTCCCTCATTCCAATTATGTTGGGGCTTGGCCTGTGCTCAGCTTACGAGCTCAGCTTTAATGTGCAGGGTTTTATTGCAGCCATTGCTGCCAATTTGACAGAGTGGTGAGTATGTCTTGTCATTTTATATGTTAATGAGAATCTTGGTTTGCAGCTATGAAACTATTTCATACACTTCAAATGTTTTTGGATTTCCAGTATTTTGAACTGTAATTTTTATGCACTTACATTCATTAAGTATTGAGTTCCTTGTTAATGTGTATCTTAACAATTTTTTTACAATAAAATGTCAAGTATTTTTTATTTATTTATATAACCCAGTCTCCTCTTGTACTATTTCATTTAATATGTATAAGCTCCACTTTTAATTAAATTGGTTTTTTGATTGTGTGTCACTGTCAGTGGTTTGTGGGGGGGGGTGTGATTAAAGGGGGAATATTTAAACTTTGAATTTAATCTCAGTTGGACAGGACATTATCTCTTTACATTTACATTTGAAAGTGTAATCACAAGTCTAGAGTTAATATGATTAAACATTAGAAGAATTTGAAGGTTTAATCAGAAGGCTAGAGCAAATATGATTAAACATTAGAAGATAGACTTGTTATTATCAAATAAATGCTTCATAATTTTGTATTCCCACTCACAGCTTGCAAAATGTCTATTCGAAGTTACTTATAAGTGGGGAGAAGTATCGATACACGTGAGTTTATCCTTAAAACATTAATATTTAATTCTTTACCCTAATGTGTTTTAAATAGCCTTGGTATGTTATGAATATTCCTAATGGAAAGAACAAGCACATTCCAGTAGTTCTATGGCATTAAAATGATCTCTTAAATACGAGTACTAAGATGTGTGAAGAATATCCTTTGTGGCAAGATCTGATCATTGGGGTGGTCCTTAAATTGGAAAAAAAAATATATTTTACGTGACAGTGAATACACACACCCCTTACCACTTTCACACGCATAGGCCATCCCTTAACTACTGGAAATACATTTTCTGTAATTATATAAAATATTTCAGATATGTAATTGCAGAACATAGCTTTGAATAGTCACGAAATTTTACCAAACACCATCCATTGGTAGACCCCCACACATTATAGTTATGCTAAATGCTACTCCTGAATAAAAATCCACATTACTTACAGAAAATGTCAATAATACTATAAAGGAGCTCATAGTTTTTAATTTTTAAAAAAATAATTGCTCCAGAGGAAATAGAAATACTTTAAATATTGAACCTGATTGACACCATTATTACAGGGCCTCACACACACACTATTTGTGACCAGCTAGCATACAATTTTTTTTATCATTAATATTGCTGCCTTACATTTTATGAGTCAACACAATTTGTAACATTGACAAGGTGTGAATTATTAAAAAATAATGCCATAAAATTACATAATTTTAAAGTTATTTTGCTCTTCAATCCTTTTTTAAAAAATTCTTTAAAAAGGTGGATAAATCCAAAAAAAAAATAATTTTTGAATGAAAAGTATTTGAAGAATCACTTTATTTCATACTTCTATATTGTCATTTATTAAATTTACTTATAATAATCTCTTCTGTAATTTGCCTTATGTTACCAAGATTCTATTTCTTATACTGATTCCTCTGAAAGCAAATAAAAATTAGTTTGAAAGAGAACTATAATGTGTGCATACACTTATAATTATACTATAATTAGGAACATTTTTAGTGTCTTTAGATTTTATTTGTTACATTGGAGAATAAGTTATAAGAAAAATTTATATGCAAGGCTGGTGATATATTGTAAGAAATTAAACAGACAATTCATTTTATAGCGTATCTTGCCCATTTATATTTCAAAATTTTGGTAATCCAGACCAGTGAGTGACTGCCAGTTTGAGATAAGGAAATTTGTCAAGTTGCTTGCAAAGCCAATGTCACTGTAAACGTACCTAGCAATAAGAAATGCTACTGCTAATTAGTTTGATATTAAAGACGTAAGAGTAGGAAAAGTGATTTTTTTAACTTTTCTGAGGGTTTTGAACTCTGGGTGACTAAAGAGACAATGGAACAGTCTAAAAAGTAACTGGTCTTTTAATAGTGCATCTGGTGTCCCAATATATCAATGTCTCTTCATAACATGAAATATACTCGGGCAAGGCAAACAGTTCAAATAAACAGCACACAATTTGAAATTGATATATACTAAAAGGCCCTAAATTCATTTCATACATTTGAAATGATGAAATGGAGAGTGGAATTTCATAGAATAAGTCCATGGATGCTGATATAACAATTATTGGATAAACTTTGCCCTTTCTTGCATTGCAAGCTGTTTTCTTGACTTTTCCTAGGCCAGCAGAGCTTCAGTTCTACACAAGTATTGCCAGTGTCGTGGTTCAGATTCCAGCCTGTTTCTTCATGATGGACCTTGAGAAGGTCCACCGGACATTGGACATCACTCTCCTGTCATCGTTACTCCTGAATGGTGTTTTTTTCCATTTTCAGTCTATAACAGCTTATGTCCTTATGGATTACATTTCACCTGTTACCCACAGGTGAGCTATACTATCTAAAGTTTGAACTAGGCTAATAGCGACTTTAATGTAGCTGTTCTGCCACTTTCAATTTTCATTATAAATATTTGTAAAGATTGTAAATTTGGTAATTATCATTCTTAACTTTAGAATATTCTAATTTTAGAATTCAATTTTTTTTTGAGAATGCAAGTAGTAAAGTGTTTTGTATTTAATATCCCTCACCCGCAACTTGATTTTTAAAAAAAATTTGTGTATGTAAATAATTTAATAATGATATTACTATTTATATAAAATATGTTCATGTTTGCTTCCATCGGGTCTGGACACTTAAATGATATCCAAATCATTGATATTAGTGTCATGTCTTCAGTGTCTCCCCCCCCCCCTCCCCTTCCTTTTTCAACTCTAATAACATTTTTCATTTTCATTCAACCTGATGGTACATATTTGTGATTTCTTTTAAAAATTGAAAAATCATATCTATTTTTAAGTGTGTGGCATTGTGTAATTTGTGTTCGATGCTGACCTAACTTAACCATAGCAAGGTGCCTTTATGATAATAAAAGGATAAAATTATTGATCATCAAATGTAATAAAATAACTTAATTGAAGTTTATTTCTTCTGCAGTGTGGCCAACACAGTCAAAAGGGCATTCTTAATATGGCTCTCTGTTTTTCTGTTTGGAAACCCAGTGACATTTTTAAGTGGCCTTGGGACAATTATAGTGACTATTGGAGTTTTGTTGTATACCAAGGCGAAGGAGCACGACCAGCACCTGCTAGAGATGAGAGAAAGATACAGGACAAACTTAGTGCATACTGAAATTCTCGTGCGGCAAGTGTGATCTGAAATTACATTTTTCTTGTATACTCACATAATTGGATCACAACTTATATAGAATATTAAAAAAGCACATTTGTGAAGGGGCATTTTGAAATCAATAGGAGCTGTAAATAAACAATCAATCATTTTTTTATGTTGAATGTTAAGACTGGTTGTAATGAATTTTAAAGGGTCCAATATTCTTTGTAAACATTAAATTCTGTTGACTGTATTTATCAATATATTTGTGAGCTCTGTGCACAAGTAAGGAAATATGTACTACACAATGTTTGTGTTATTTGTAGAATAACTTGATATGCACATTTTCTAATAATGAGGGGTTTTCCTCTTTGAAGGAGGTACACAGTTCCATATTTATTTACTTCTAGTGAATGCTAGACTCAAATTGATGAACCCCTTTTTTTTTTGTTTTGTGATGATTTGTAGTTAATAATCAGATAACAGAATATTGTTTGCCTTTGATAACTGATCATAACATCTGTGAATAGTGGTCCACGATGGGCTGACCTTTAGTCTTATTTGTTAAAAGTTGATTGTGGTCAGTTGTAAATGTAGTTTTAAAAAAAAAAAAAAAAAAAAAAAAAAAAGGTGTCGGGAAAGGCAGCCATTTAAAAAAAAAGTCAAGTTTTGGTCCACGATGGGCTGACCTTTAGTTTTATTTGTTAAAAGTTGATTGTGGTCAGTTGTAAATGTAGTTTTAAAAAAAAAAAAAAAAAGGAAGTGGAATGGTGTCGGGAAAGGCAGCCATTTAAAAGAAAAGTCAAGTTTCTGTGGTACAAGATTTTAAATAATATTCAGCTCATGCCAACTTTTGTTTCCTGCCAGCAGAAATAATCTCATTTGTTCTTAGCTTTTTTAAAAAAAAAATTTAACAAACAGGATTTTCCGCACTCAAGGATTACACTTCAAGATTTGTCAATTACCAAATGGTCATGTGGTTGTTTAAAATGGGTGATTTAAGTGGCTCATGTACTCGGCATATCAATTCATTGATGAAAATAACTATGTAATTTGTTTTAAAATAATTTGTTACATGAGGGTTGATGTAAATATTTGGTAAAACAGATGCTTCACTGTAAACATTGCATTGATGTCTGTCATTTTTAATGATTTTTTTTTTCTATCGTCAACATTTCTCAAAATATGATTCTCAAGTGAAACAAAAAGCATGCATGCATAAATATTGAAAAATTATTATAAAACACAATTAAAGTGATTATCTATCACACTGCTTCGCATAATTTGATTTTGCACCAGGGGGAAAAACCATAGTTTTCAAGAACACAAATTACTTTGTTGAACTGCCAAAAAGTGTTGCAGCTGTTACGCTTTCACTTACAAGACATAATGTCACTCTGTTCTCTACATGACCACTTAAACAGAAGTTTACAACATTTTTTGCTTGCAAGGCAGCATTCTCACCACAGTATTGTATAATAATTAACTGGGCTTTGAGAACTGCCCATGGCTTGGGGACTTCTGCTCATGGCTTGGGGACTTCTGTCCATGGCTTTGGGACTTCTGCCCATGGCTTAGGGACTTCTGCTGTCAAGAATGAACCGTAGTCGAGGACTTAATACACTATTAGGTTTGTGCTGTCTTAGAAATTTCTGGAGACACTGTCTGAAAAGTTTTCTTTTGCTGTTTTCTTTATAAAAAAATAAAGTATGCGTCTGAGACCTAGTTAATTTTTGCTTCTTCAATTGGCCAGTGAGGATTGAACAGTTTAAAGAGGTAAATGGAATAAACGACTGCTTCAACGGTCATGGGCTTAAGGAAGGAATATCAGTGATGCGACTCTGTCCTCACTGCCTTATGTAATGCTACTCTTTAGAGCAGTTCTTATATAAATGCAAGTAAAATTAATGTGCAGTTTTAGTTTTCAGGATCTGTCACAGCTAATTAGAATGTTTTAATTCCCCAGATTTTTTTTATTGCACGAGACTTGCTCATATTACATATCTGCACAGTATTGTTTTCTCAATTTAAACCAAAAAAATTTTACAGCTGGTTGCCATCATTTTGCAGACATTCTGCCATGCATGTATTTTCTATTGTCACTATCATATCAGTAATGGTATATTCATACATGCTTAATTTCTTGGTGATTGTTTTGCGGAGCCATGAATCTAGGTCATTGTTGGGAACCTTTGGATGTGTGCATACCAAAATAACATTTTTTTAAATCTACATAATATTATTACATGCAAAAAAATAAAAAATTTATGGGATTACATAAATTGCTTTAAAATTACATCTGTTGGGGCTAGTTAAATCCATTTGAGACCCTGGTTAATGCCACTAAACGCCCTTACAATTATACATAATAATAATTCTCTAGGCATGTATGACTGTATCTCTGTGTTCAATAGGCGCACAAAATAAAATTCCCAGAAGTTAGCACTAATTGGGTTTTCTTATAAAGTGTGTTAGTTTAAATTCATTTTTTGTCAAATAACTTCAGTAGATTGGAAGTTCAGGCATTGCTGCCACAGAAAAGTACACAATGATATACAGGAGCCACTTTTATTTCTGAGCAAATGGTCCATATAATTAGTGCAAGTGATGTTGCAACAACTGGAGGGTGCAAAGTTTGTATTTTAATTTGCAGAGACTGATGGTTTTGTATTAAGGCCAAAGCTTATAAGATGTTTGTTTTTTATTTTATTCTTTACTTACTGCTAAAACATTTGTCCTATCTTCTTGCATCCAGTTGGAGACCATAGATAGAGCTGACATTTAACCAAATAGAAATCAGTAACAGCATAATTACTGTAAATAAAAAAATATTTCCAAGTAAGATTCTAGACTCGCAGACCAAAAAGACCAAAGCTTAGTGTTGAGATGAAGTGGATACATATTGTTGATTATTGCCAGCTGTAAGCCAAAAGCAAGTGAATGTAAGTCAAGAAGGGGTGCTTCTTGAAATCGGTCATAGGAAAAAATGGACTTAAGTCATGGTTTTGCTGTGTTTCTGTTAATTTTTGTTGTTTAAATACTTTATGACTTGATGTATGTTTTATTATATTTTATAAATATATTTCCACCATTTTGTAGAGCCAAAACATTCCTGGTTGTCTTACACTAATAAAGCCACTAATAAATATAGTAAGTCATTTGACAATGTTGAAATTAAAGGAGCACTGATCTATGAGAGAGAATAAGTTGTGGCTTTATTGGGAAGAAAACTTCATTTTTAGTGAATTATTTAATATTTTGATGCACTTCTTGGTAGGTTTCTTAACTAGGTCTCCTAATCATCCAACTTAAAATCCATTTATTTTTTTTTTTAATATTCATTTATTGTTATAAAGTATGTTCTTCTTAGTGATAAACCCTTTAAATTCTACAGCGTTTGATGAATATCTACTCTTGATAATACTATGCTTCGCAACTTTTAATCTCAGTAATCTGAAGATCTATACTTTGAAAGGTGTTAATTGTCCTAATAAACTGTTCAAAGTTCAATGAAAGTTAAAAAGTCTAGACATTAAAACATTTAAATTACTATTACCACCTGCTAACAAATCCATCTAAAAATAAGTCATTGCTCAGACTTGAATACAAAATATGGCATTTATTTTTAAATGGTTAATTCCTATGAGAGAGGGTTAAGAATTTTGATATATTACTAATTTTATCCACATGTAATTTTAAGTAGCAATAAGTTGAAAAGCTTTAAATTGCATGATTAGTCTACTTTAAAAAAAAAAATAATGTAAATTATCTCCAACTGAAGAAGATCTTTAATTCTAAAAATATAAATTTCTTTTTTGTTTTGTTTTCTAACTAGTTATAGTTATTTGACCCAGAGACATTACAGTTGTTATTAAGGATTGGTTTTTTTCTCTTTAGAACATTTCATTTACCCTTCACCATTTTGTTAATTTAAAAACTAATCATTAATTTTATTTTTTTGTGTGCATTCTATATTAGATGTTACAATTAGTGTTCAGAAGCAATAGATCATTGCATTTCTAGAAATCTGAGTTTTCTTGAGCTGTTACCGGTATGTCATTGGATTAATGTTTCTGCATAAAGAGGCTATTTTATTGCCTTGAAATGCATTCTGTGTGCTACTTTCCTATTCAATACAACGGTTATTGATTATATGATGTGATGTTCTGCCACCATGGCCATTGATAACCTCTAAATGTGAATTTATAATCCTATGCACAATTTGCTAACTTTCTTAGAAGTGTACTTTATAATAACAAAAGAACTAACGGTTAGATTTTAAATCTGCCACTCAGCCAAGTTATAATCTAAAATTGGATTTGCAGTCTCTCATTGTAACTCATTGTATCCACCTGAGGGTCCACAGATTCCAGCCTTGGAAGACAGTGGTCTATAACATGTACAACACTCTCTGAGGTCGTGAAATATCCTAAATTATTTCTTGTCTTCATTTATGTCTGTCAACAGAATAATTCAATCTGCACTATATCAATTTAAGTTATTTTTCTTGGTTGATTGTTTCAGGTGCTTGAGAATCTTAAGATTGAATTTCTTTTATTTCCCAATCTTATTCTTGAGATTCCAGCATCAATAAACTGGTTTGCTGCTCAACTGATGATGACTCATTATTATTGTTGATGATTTTAGAATTGAAAGCATTCACTAGTGACCAATCATTTATTGTAAAGATTTCTTTGTGTGAAACACTATTATGGTATCAATCTATTGGGGGATGATGCAAATTTCTTATCATGGTGTAATCTTATTGCCATAAAATAATTTATCATATGAATCACTTTTAATTTGAAAACATTCTATCATGATTTAAAAATAACATGTAAGTTTGCTCGTGGGACCAATAGTAACTTAAATGAAAATACTTGTTCCACATAATGGTGAAAGTTTCTTTAATGTACATAAATCCTTTATGCTTGAGGTGTGTCCGTCTGAATGAAATATCTATTAAACCCATGACAACTAAAAAAATGGATTATATTTATAATTGTTTAGACAAAGTTTGTATACATCTTCAGTTGGAGTAACTTACAATATATTTTAGATTGAAGGAACATTGTCTGAGCCTGTTGTTTTTGTATGCACTTGTTCAAAGAATGGATCGTAGAAGTGGCTTAATTATTCTGTGGAGTTCATTGGATTTTTCTCTTGTGCCAAGAACGAACACAGATACTCTGACTTTTAATTTTCTTGGGCCAAGGACCTTAACGAAAGATTTGTTATGTATTTTATTTATAAACTGTTACCCTCACCCAGCAAACAATGTTTGTTTTGATTCATCGCATTATTTTTTTTACATTTCCCACACTTGGACTCCATCATTTTTATTCACCTCATTAAAAATGGGTTTCACTGGCACCTTAAAAATCAGAGATTAATCATTGTAAAAAAAAAAATTTATTTTCCAAATACCTCCTCTCAGACTTGCCATTAGATAGATGTAAACAAAACATTTGCTATACCAGCTGCCTTTCTATTTATATACCGGTATTTATTTAATTTTTA